ACCATGTGGGTGCTTGGGAACTGAACCTGGGTCTTCTGCAACAGCAGCCAGTGCTCTTAACTGCTAAGTCATCTCTCCAGCCCCCATAACTCCAACGTTAAAAAAATTTAATTTAAAAATTTTTTATGTGTATGAGTGTTATGCCTGCTGTATGTAAGTACACCTGTGTCATACAATGTCTGTGGAGGAATGAGGAGGGATGGTTGCTAGCTGGCCTGTGGGTGCTGTGATTTGAACCTGGGTCTTTTGCAAGAAGTCAGTGCTCTTAACCACTGAGCCATCTCTCCAGCCCCAACTTCAGCTTTTTAAAGGGTCATTCTTTTGAGTGCTGTACTCTACACAATTTTAGTCCTGATAATGAGAAATACCACAATAAAACCAAAACTCACTCCAGCTATCCACAGACTATGTGAGGTTGGCTGAGCTCCAGTGTGTTTGAACCAATATAATTCCTGGTCCAGCAACAAATCTCAAGAGTTCTTTAGATTCTGGGCCGTGGAGAAGGCTCAGTGGGTAAGGGCTCTTCATCTGAGTTTGATCCCTGGAACCCACATAGTGGGAGGTGAGAACTGACTCCCACAAGTTGGCCTCTGACCACAAGTATGCTTTAGGATACATACTTCCCACTCACATTAAATAAATGTAAAAAAAAAAAAGGAGTTCCTTCGATCCTGTTGTGTTGAACTATCAAAACAAATAACCCTATAGGAATCTGAAACCTGGGCCTTTCAGTTGTTTACCAAATATGTTCATCATGGTAGTTGCTCCCACCACTCTTAAATTTGACAGGTTTGTCATCAAAAGGCAAGGCAGAGATATCAGTTTAAGTATTGGGAGGGAATCCAGAGACTTTGTGTTAACTGTCAGACATGTCTAAGGACATGTGAGCAAACTCAGGGCTCCCTACCCGCAAGCCACTGTTTCTCTGACTAAACTACTGCCTTTCTTTCACTTGTCCTCAGAAGCAGCCATGACTCATCATGTAGGTCCCCAATGATATGTCCCCGTCTTAGTTTTCTTCTCAAGACACAGTCTCATGTATCCCAGGCTGGCCTCGAATTCTCTCTCTCGAAGATGATCTTAAATTCCCGATCCTCTTGCTTCCATCTCCTGAGTGCTCACAGGCATGTATTATCGCGCCTGGGTTACACAGTGCTGGGATTTGAACACAGGGCTTCATCTCTGCTGAGCAAGCAGTTGACCAACTGAGCCCTGTGTCTCCATCTTTGAATCATCTCCACTCAGGGAACTTCAGGACCCCCTAGCTGACCCCAGGGATCCTCCTCCATCTTAGGTGGTGGTCCAAGTTTTTGCTATTGATTTGGAGCCTTGAAATCCTATTTACCTCCCTGAGGCAGGGCTGAGCAGCCACTCCTGCAGCTGACCTTGACGTTCCCTCTCACCTGCTGTAAGGACCATCTGCAGAGGAAGCTGATGCACCTTCTAGATCTGTAGCCACACCCATGTCTATTGCTTATGTTTTTGTTTGTTTCTTGTTAGACTCTAGATGTGCTATATATTAAGGGGTGACTAGAAATGGAACCTGTGCAGGAAGTCCAGGCTGGGCTTGGAGGCAAAGGGGATTCAGGGTAAGAGGGAGTGAGGACAGCGAGCTGGGCAAGAGAGGGAAGCCAGGGGATTGATAAGGCCTGCATAACTCTCCCCCCCTGCCCCCCGTGTAGGATATATGAGTGAGCAAGCTCTGTGAGAAAGACAGAAAAAACAGAGAGAAGGATAGATAGATAAAGGACAGAAAGACACAGAGAAAGAGAAAAAGACAGAGAGAGGCAGAGAGAGACAGAGAGAAAGAGGTATCCAGGGAAGGACAGAGAGACAAAGAGAGATACAGGAAGGAGATAGAGAAAAGAGAAAGAGAGAGAAGAGGGTGAGAGGAAGAGGGAGGGGAGAGGAGGAAAGAGATAGACTCTCCATGTCTCCATATGTGGCTTATTTTAGGCCTGCTTTTTTTCCCTCTTTCAATTAAAGGAGAGAATCCCGAAATCTCTGCAGGCCTCACTCATATGGGATGGAATGACTGTGTTCCAAAGCTGGGGATAAACAGGTCTTGATCTGTGCATGCTGATCTGCTCCAGGATAACGCCTTTTGAGAAATGCCATGTAACTCACATCCAGCTGCAAACATTCAACTGCATCTTCAATTAAACATCTAAACCCGGGGCTCAGCGGTTAAGAGTACTGACTGCTCTTGCAGAGGACCCGGGTTTGATTCCCAGCACCCACAAGGCTGCTACGAACCGTCCTTAACTCCAGTTCCAGGGGAATCCGAAGCCGCCTTCTGACCTCTGTGGCATTTCACAACACGGTTGCACTCACATACATGCAGGCAATACACTCATACACATAAAATAATAAATAAAATATTTTAAAAAGTCTAAGCCAGGCGTGGTGGCACACAGCTGTAGTCTGCAAAAACTATCTTCTTGCTCCAATGTTTCCAGCAATGATTCATGAATTACTTTGCAGTTTTGTTTCTTCATAGCATATTTTAAAATGTATTTTCACATCAGCAAAAAAAAAAAAAAAAAAAAAAAAAAAAAAAAAGTCTAAACTCTTTGTGTTCAGAAGAATCTGTTCTGTTTTTTCTCTGAAAATGACCCAAGTGTTGGATACACCTTTCCGTAAAGAGTTAGTCAACAGTAATTAGAAGTAGCCTTTGCCCATAAGAGGCTTAAGGACAGTCCTAGAATAAACCCACTAGCTAAAAAGGAGAGCTGGAGGTTTGCTTTTTAAAATTATTGGCCTCTGAGAAGAACAAGAATCAGGAGATAATTATGTTTAAGTAGAACCCTAACACTCTTGAACTTACTATGCGCAAGCTCAAGGTTTCTCTATATCTTAATTTTAATTATTATTTTTTTAATTTAAGGAAGATCCCTTTTGGGAAGGTTTCAGAAAGATGGGAATTACTGATGTACAGTGAGACTTGGATAAACATTCACATATTTATTAGTGCCAGGCCAACTTGAGTAATAAAATATAGATGCGATTGCTTACCAGACATTTCACAAGTGGAGAACATGACATTTTGCAGATTGCTATACACACTAGAAAATAGTCTCTGGTTTTTCTTGTTCTTTGGTTGAATGAGGGCCAAAAATTAAAAAAAATCATTACCAATGTCAATACTGATTTGCTAGTGTTTCCTTGCAACATGATTTTAAATACAATGGAGGAGGAGGAGGAAGAGGAGGATAGCTTTGTTAGATCCCATCAAGTTTAACTAAAGAGTGGTTTTAGACATTGGTGTTGAAGTGATAAGTGACTTTTTATTTACCTGGAAAGAGTTAGATACTCATGGTGGCAATGAGGTGACAGTTTTCTCCTTCTTCGCCACATGACTCAGGTGGACCTTAAAGAATCACTATCCAAGGACACCATGGCCGAAGAGTTCATATTTATCAACATTAAATAAACACTTGGTGAAGTATGCATAAATAGTCTTCATATAAACATGACATGACATTAAATAGTTCAGGCACAGACACACCACTGAGAACGCGTCCACTGTTGTCAACGTTGGTTGTAAACACCACCTCACACTGAATACAAAAGCAGCTTTGGCCGCAGCTCTGGGTTCACGACACGGATGGATGCCCCACACAAGGGAAGGATTCTCCACAGCCCTCCCACCCCCCACCCCACCCCCACTCCCCACACAGTTCCAGCAGAAAGAAAGGAAGTAACCCCAACAGTACAGCGGCAACAGTAACAGCACAGTAGCACCCCCTCCCCGAGACGCGGTGTGTTTGGGTGAATTCCAAGGAAAATGCAAAATTCATTTTTCACAATGTAAAGGAAATCAACTTGCAGCAACACTTTCCAGAGTACCACTCCTCCCCTTCCTGGGTGAAGGTTAAATAGCGAAGGCCAGAAAGCCCTGGCCCCTGCCAAATGACAAGAAGTGAGCCCCACTTTCTTTTAGGAGGTGCTGAGCAGCAAGAAACGAAATACACTTTCCATCAGCCTCTGTTACAATAATTCTTTTGCTCTTCCATATATATATACATATATATACATATACATATTGCTGTGTGTGACATTCAAAGGTGACTCTAGGATCGAGCTTCAAGCACTTTAGATGGCAGAAATTTAGTTTTGAAATGTTCAGATTGGATGACTAAATACAAATGTGTATACAAGTTCATTCTTTTGAGCTCAGAGGGGCCCTGATTCAGCTCTGTCGATGGAGCTACCAACAAAGAAGATTGTGTGCCCTCAGAGTCTAGTCTGAGACATGGTGCTGACTGACCCTGGAGACCATCTGCGTGGCACAGACCCGCTGAGAAGGCCTGGCAGCTCTGTGATGGATATTACTCTTCAGGGTGGTTTGTGGAAAACAGCCCCAGCGTCAAAAAACAAAACAAAACATTCAACTGGGCTTACTTCACTTTTAAATTGTATTAGGATCCTAGAGAATTTCAGTTACCAAAGTACTGAAAGCACATGTTGCAAGAACAATTGGCCAATTCAGTGTTTCCCATTATATTATATACACTATGTGTGCATGTGAGTGCCTCACACACACACACACACACACACACACACACACATATGTATGTATGTATACTTATACAATTTTATTTATACGAAACTTGAACTGCACAAAACAGTACTTTGTAAGAACCAAGAATCAAATCCACAAATAGAGTTTAACAACACACCAAAGAGAGGACAGAAGCTCTATCGGGACAAGAAGTGTTAGCTTTGCCACATATGAAATAATTTCTGAACCACAGACTCCCAGGCCTGCTGTGTTCCATGTGGGGTCTAGATCCACATTTTGGGGTCCCCTGAAAGAGGACAGCAACCCACTTAGTGAGGCTCATCTGTGATTCTTGAGCTAATGGGAATTAAAATACCCAGGCAAATCAATTTCAGAGTATAATTGCTGTGAGGCAATTTTTTCCCTCTTTAAGAAAAAACATTGTAAAAGTCTATTTCAGAATAAATTTCTTTATATTCAGCAGTATGCTTTTTTGTTTTCTGAACTGGCATTTGACTTTTTTATATTAAAACTCGTTTATTTAATGGATCAGTAAACAGGCAGCTTCTCTCCCGTCTGGGTGATAAAACCCTTTTTATCACCACTAGGAAATGCCCCCCACCCTCACCTGACTCCTGTTAGGCTGTGTGGGCTGATGTGTGCGTGTAGTCACTGCTATTGATAAACCCTCTTTCTACAAGGCCTGCTCTGGGACTCGCTTGTGGAAAATGACTGACTGTCTCTCCTGGTACTGTTGTTTACGTCTCTTCCTCTTGTCACATTGGCATAAGAGAAGCATCTTGAATGTGGTTCTGAAAGTTTTGTTGCACAGGGCATAGCACACGGGGTTCACGGTGCTGTTGATGTAGCACAGCCAGTAGCCCAGGTTCCAATAGGTTTTGGGTATACAGCTGTCACAGAAGGTGTTCACTAGGACCATGATGTTGTAGGGTGTCCATGTGATGATGAAGGCTAGCAAGATGGCACTGAGGGTCTGGGCAGCCTTCTTCTCCTTGATGAGGGACATCCTCTTCCGCTTGGTGATCTGACTTCTGGTTTTCAGGGCAAACCTCTTGGCCAACGTGGCTTCCTTGCAGGACAGAGGTAGAGTGGCCGTGTTCTTGTCCACTGAGGAGTTGGTGTCGGCAGTCTTGACTGTGTCCACGGCGGACTCTAACTGGATGGGAAGCTTGGAGAAGCCCTTTTGACAATTGTCACTGTCACTCAAGCTCTTCTGGGCCTGCAGCTTATTGGCATTCTTCTCCACATCCACAGTCCCCAGCTCCTCGTCGGGTACCTGCAGGTTGTCTGAGGAGGGCAGCTTGGTAGAGTTGAGGATGCTGTGACCCGGGAGCTTGAGCACAATGGAGTAGATGGCTCTGGTCTCTGAGCCAATGTCCTCCTCATCAGAGGAGGCGGAATTTTCCAGGGAGGCAGCTGCATCGTTGTTGTGCCAGCTGTCACTGCTGCTGTGGTCTTGGTCCACCTGCTCAGCACTGGGCTTCCAGCTCTTGGTTGTGAACCAGAAGTGACAGCGACCGTACTTCCTCCTGGATGAGCGTTTCATGCTTTGCTGCTGAAGTTCATAGCTGCTGCAGCTTCGAGAACTGCCTGTGGGGTGGACAAAGTTTTCTGCCTCGGCGTCTGTCCCAGAGGCCTGTAGCCCGGCCAACTCTTTGCTACGCTTTTCAGTTTCCTTATAGATCCTCCAGTATAAAATAGTCATGATGGTGACGGGCATATAAAAAGCAGCGATTGCTGTGCCGAAGGTGATGGTGGGCTCGCTGAGGAACTGAATGAAGCATTCTCCGGGGGGCACAGTTCTCTTGCCTACAAAGTACTGCCAGAACAAGATGGCAGGGGCCCATAGGATGAAGGAGATGACCCACGCCAGACCAATCATCACACCGGCTCTTTTGGTTGTTCGCTTGGCTCGGTACGTGAGTGGCCTCGTGATGGAAAAGTATCTGTCAAAGCTGATAACCAACAAGTTCATGACAGAGGCGTTGGAGGCCACATAGTCAATGGAAAGCCAGAGGTCACAGGCCAAGTTCCCCAGTGCCCATCTGTTCATAATGATGTAGGTAGTGAACAAGTTCATCGAAATGACCCCGATGATCAGATCTGCACAGGCCAGGCTTAGGAGGAAGTAGTTGTTGACGGTCTTCAGCTGTTTGTTGACCTTAAATGCCACAATGACCAGGATGTTGCCAATGATGGTCACCAAGGCCAGGAAGCCGGTTAAGAGGGCGATGAAGACCACTTGCCAGATGGTGTGACCCCCCAGAGGGTCACTGGAGGTGTCATTTGAGGAGAAGTTCCCAGCTGCCTGTGAAATGTTGTAGCTGCCGAAATGAGTGACCGTCCCTGGGGGCAGCCCTGCCTCTGAGGGGCTGTGTATCCAGGAAGAGCTGATGTTGGGAAACAAAGGAGAGGTTGTGCTGTTACCCTGCAAGGTCATTGTGGCTCTCTGACATAGTCTGCGGGGGAGGAAAAAAAGAGAAAAGATGGAGTTAGGAGAGAGAGATCTTTGCCCTCATCTGGGATGCTCTCTGGGTAGTTTACATTTTTCTTCATATACATGTTTTAAGATTAACTTTGTTCTTTGACAGTTACATACACGAGTACAATGCATGCTGATTACTCTCAGCCCCACCCACTGTGGTACTCAATCCTCTTTCCTTCCCATGGATATCTTTTTCACAATCCTACCTACATTATTTTGAGGCAGGGTCTCAATGTAATCCCAACAGTCCTGAACAGTCCTGGAACTCACTGTTTATTCTTTGAGACTGTCTGGCCCAGCCTCATTGGTGCACACACAAACATCTCTGCATCGCCACATTACATTTGAATTGTGGAAGGTGTGTTTCAAGACGCTGGATTCTGAAGCAGCAAAACACGATTGAATTTGTTCTCTGATTTGAAGGGTAAAGAGTCGATTGAGGGCATCCAGGACTTGCTTTGTTCAAGGTAGTATAGTAGCTGGGAGATCTGCAATGAGCATTGTGCTGTCCCCCACATAGCACATATCTTCCATGGATTGTTGCTATCAAACACGATGGTACCCTTAGTCCTCTGATTTACTTACTTCTCTTATTTTCAAACGAGGAAAAGATCAGATGCTTATATGGCGATTATGCAACACAGTGTTATCACCATCTGACTTGATAAATGGGTATGGTTCATTTGCATTTTATCCACCTGGACATTTAGACAACTGTGGTTCCAGACACTAGCAGCTTGAAGGTGACAGTCGCTACTTAAACGTCACTGGAATGATTCAAATCAACCCAAAGCAAGACAGAACGTGCTGCTAATCATTTCACATAGTGCTGTCTCTTTATTTTTATTATTTATTTAAGGACAGGGCCTTAAATTGCCCAGACTGACTTCAAATTTGCTATGTAGCCAAGGATGAGTGTGAACTTCTGATCCTTCTGCCTCCAACTCTGGAGTGCTGGGATTAAAGGCATGCACCACCACTCTAGTGTAAGTGGTTCAGAGGTAGGATTGAACCCAGCGCTTCCTGTATGCTAGGCAGGCACTCTACCGGCTGAGCTAAATCCCAAACTTTCAACATTGTGTCTTTAAAACATTATAGAAACACATACCATGTTGGTTCCATTTGCTAGTATACTCATTTCTTTTTTTATTGTTTTTATTTTATAAGTATGAATACATTGCTTGCACGCGTGTAAGTACACCCATGTCATACAGTGCCCGTGGAGCTCAGAAAAGGGTGTTGAATCCCCTGTAACTGGAGTTATAGACGGTTGTTAGCTGCCATGCGGGTGCTGGGAATCGAACCTTGGTCCTCTGCAAGTGCGAGAACAGTCAGTGCTCTTAACCTCTGAGCCATCTCTCCCAGCTAGTTGTTCATTTCTTTTATGCTCTCTGAAGAATCTTTACATTCCCAGGAGCTTGTTCACTGTAAAGAATCTTGGACATAGTAGCTAAGTTTCATTTCTGCTGGGGTTACCATGAAGCCCTGTTTACAGTCCACCTCAACCTCACTGCATCCTGTGTAGATACATCTACAGCAACTTTAAAGATCCCTCGCTCCTCAGCACTGTCCAGCCTCTGCTCTCTTGTCCCCTGGGAACTGACCATGTTCTGGTCTCTTGTTTTCTTGCTTTATGATTGATAGGATGATTAAATTACAAATAAATACAATATCAAATAATCCCAAGGGTTCATACATCTGTCTTGGCTCATCTTGTTTTCCTTGTTAATGATGTCACAGTGGGTATCTGTTATTTCTCATTCTTTTAGTTCTTCTTTTGAAATTAGCCTGCCACTCACATGGCATGCTTTGGAATAGGCATTTGCCAGCTGGTCCTGAGTCCTTGGCCACAGTAATGGACTCAAAGCAGATCCAAACATGGGGGACCAGTTTGAGGGGACTGATATGGATGCCGGGAAGATGGAGAAATTCTGTCATCTTTGGGGTTGTTGGGTGCTGGGCGCCATCTTGGTAACTGAAAAATCTGAGACTCAGGTTAAGGCAGAGGAAGGACGGGGGAAGGAGCAAGATGGGATGGAATCCCGGGCAACAGGGATGGTATGAGAGCCGGTCCTTTGAAAACTAAACGTAGTACTCTTAGTCAGCTCGACTTCCTTGACCTTTGTCATATGAACCCAAAAATTGCCTTTGTTGCTTGGGCTATTGGAGAAAAGCTTTAATCACCCGCAACTAAAGGTTCTTCAAAATATTTTATGTGTATGAGTATATTGCTTGTATGTATGTAAGTGCATCTGTGTTGTGCAATGCTCACAGAGGTCAGAAGGGTGTTGGATCTCCTAGAACTGGAGTTACAGACAGTTGTTAGCCACCAAATGGGCACAGGGAATCAAACCCGAGTCCTCTGCAAGAGCAACCAGTGCTCTTAATTGCTGAGCCATCTCTCCAGCCCCAACTAAAGATTCTTGATTAGTCTCTTTTGTCAAAGCAGCAAGTCTAGAGATCTAATATATAGTTTGAGGAACAAAGTTGATAAAATTGTATTAGAAAATTTTGTTAAATAAGTGGATTTTAGCTGCTCTTAGCAAACACAAATAATGATCTGTCACAACAGACATGAATCCATATCACTGTAGCCACCATTTAACTTTCTTGATGTATTTCATAATATCCATGCTGCAAATCTCAACTGTTACACAATGAAATTTGTTTAAAAAATTTAAAATTACAAGGAGAGATGGCTTAACCATTGGAGAGATGAGTCAGTGGTTAAGAGCTCTGGTTGTTCTTGCAGAGACCCAGATTCAAATCCCAGCACCCACATGGCAGCTAACAACTGTCCATAATTCTAGTTCCAGGGGATCTTACACCCTCTTTTGTGTTCCATGGGCACGGTATGGCATGGGTGCACTTACACACAAGCAGGCATGACACATACACATAAAATAAATTAATAAAAAATTTAAAATTATTTATTTCTGGGTGTGATGTACATGGGTGGGGCATGGGCACCATAGTGTGTATTCAGAGGTCAGAAGATAATTAGAAAAATCAGGTGTCATCTTCCACCGTATGGGTCCAGGGGATGGAACTCAAGTCATCGGGCTTGTGACAGGCACTGTAATCTGTTGTACCACTAGCCTAAATTTCCTGAAAAGAACATGAATCGAGGAGGACATATTGGAAGTCATGGGAGATTATGACAATGAGTATAATACTCTTGGTTATGCACATGTCCAATATGTGATACATATAATATACTTCATGGTAAGCAATATTTGAAAGCCAGTTAAGTGGACATTTTAGCATCCTTTATTTAGATTTGAAAGGAAAGAATAAGGCTGGAGCTATAACTCAGTGACAGAACGCTTGCCCAGCATGCATGGGGCTTTAGTTTCAGTTCTAGGCACCACAAACAAGAGTGAAATAGAAAACATGGAAAAAAAATTTGAGTACAGTTAGGTTATAGGGAAAAGTAAGAGAGTTATGGGGACTTTGTCCCTTTCCTCTAAATCATGGCATAAAGGTTTTATGGGGTTATAAATCAGAAAAACACGGAGATAAGAGTTTTAATTTAAAAAGAAACACACAACGTGAATATAATTGTGGAAGTGTTTTGAGAAAGTTAAAGGGCCACTATTTGTGCCAGGCTCTTTGGTTAGGATCAATTATAAGGAAAAAAAACCTCATTTTCCCCTCTAACCCATCTTGGTAGCTATTCTGGGAAAATGATCCAAAGCACTCAATTCTCAAACCTCTTGGGTTAATAGACAAGTCTAAAGTAGTTTCCCTCCATGGGAATCTAAATTAATTCTGCTTCTACTATTCTTTTGCTTATGATGACCAAGGAGAAACACCCAAATACCTTTACAGTCTACAACCATGATTTTATTTTATGTGTATGAGCATTTTGCCTGCATATATGTCAGTGTACCACCTACATGCACTGCCTGTGGAGGTCAAAAGAGAAAGTCAGATCCCCTGGAACAGGAGTTAGGGATGGTTGCTAGCTGCCATGTGGATGCTGGGTCCTTTGCAAGGGCAGTAAGCACGCTAACCACTGAGCCATTTCTCTAGCCCTACTAGCAAGATCTTTAAAAGACTATGTCATGTGTCTCCTCTTTAGAATCCTGTATACATCACTTTCAGGGCTTGCTTTGGGTCTCTGCTTTGGACAAGAGCATCTGTTTTCTGTCATAATCCATTGCAGCATTCAACAGCCCAAGTAACTTTCCCTGAGGCCATCACAATCTCCATGAATGGAGAGACCACATCCGGCCGCTAGGTGGCAAAGCTGACTCAAAGAACCACCTCTGTAGGAGAAGTTGCCAGAGCAGAAGGCTGTCACCAGGCCAGAGTGGTGTTATTCAGCTTAGTTCAGTCATGCGGTATGAGGAGGATCTCAGACAGGCTGGACGGAGCCTCATAATCAAACGTGTCTTTAAAGGGAGTCGAACGTGTGGACTAAGCCGTGTATTCATTTCAAGCTGTGAGGACAGAGAATTGCCTGATATGGTGTGACGGTTCTTGTGAGCATAACACTTTCCAATGCCAAAAGCGGAATAAATTCCATTTAAAAAGGAGAAAACGTGTTCATGAAAAGGTGGTGTATCAGACTACCTCCCTGGCTGCTGCCTTTCATAAGCTTTCATTCGACGGGACAACAAAAATGTAGGATGCTTGGAAAAGGTCTCACATCAACAGCACTTAGGCGAACCAGCAGCTGATGAAAGGCCAGGATTTTACCCCAGAAACACACATTCAAGTTGGATTGTTGCAGGTCTCCATGAGCACCTTTCAAGCCTAAAACTTTTAGTTTTGTTATTAGGATTTCTAAAAAAGCTGTATGAACTAAAAAGACAAAAGGAGTTTGTCTCGAACATTACTAAGACCCCCCTTTACCTGGAGGGGGTTAGCCCCCTCTCTTGGAAGTCTTCTTTTCTGAGAGGAGAGAAAATGTGGACTGCATTCCATTTCCTCAAACCTTTACAATATGAGATTTATTTAGTGTTTTTC